CAAGTAATGGGAGTAAGAACTTAATGCTTGCAATTTTTTATTTAATAAGAAGGAAGTGATTACAAATTACTTAGACATTCTAGTCTGATTGATTGGGCCTAAGGTATTCCCTATGATCATCTGACATGTCTAGATTATCTAAGTAATATTGCCATTCTTCATTGGCAAATTTGAAATCCTCCTTTCTTAGTTGATTTCTGCGTCTAGACCCAAAAGATCTTCTTCTTCTGTATGTCTTCACAAAGGATGCTAAAGAGGTGAGAGCTTCTGAACTCATCTGCTTATTTGTAGATCCTTCCGCTATTGCTTTACTTTCACTTGTCTGAATTGCTGCATTTAGTATGACTATCTTTCTGGAATCTCTCTTTGGAACCTATATTTGCTTCTACTTGTACATCTTACTGTTTTGAAGTTTAAGTTATTATGAAGGTAAGCTTGCTAAGAGTTTTTATATAGACGTGTTACATACATTGTTTCAAGTGACTGTAGTTTTTAAATTGATTAAGTCTTACCAATATCTTAAATGATATACCGTAGAAATGTTAGCTAACAGTCTAACCTATTAAATATTCTTTAACAGTTATAAATTATATACTTTACTTGTTTAACTGTCGTTTATGGTGTCAGTTTTACTTCATTAATGTACTTCAGTAAATCTAAAGGAAGTTATTGAAAGTGTATGCATGCAATAAACAATTTGATCAAAAAGATATTTTTTCATTAATTTAAGCAAAGTATTACAAAACATTGACTCATAAGGAGCTGCTAATGCTTAGTATAGGTTCCTATCTAAGTCATCTTGAGCCTTATGATGAAAACAATTGTCATAGTCTATGTCTTGCGCATCTTCATCAATGTCTTCATCCTTTGCCTCTGGGATTGGACGATAGTACAATTTGTTGGACTGTCTTTTCTTCCTTGATCTCTTTATTATCCTTCTTTTGAGTCTCATTACAGCTTCTGATGAACCTACTATGGTAGGTTTTGTTGGAGTTGCTGACGACACTTATTCAAAAGTGATTCTTGCAGAGAGCAAGGGCTCAGTGGTGGATGTTTCAGAAACAACTCATTTCTGAATGGCTTGGACATCTTATCTTGTAGAGCTCTGGGAGATTTCTGTTACCACAGAAGTTTTATGACTCTCAGCTGATGCTTCCATGATTATGATGGATGTTGATGAAAATGAACTAGGTTTGGACTGCTTTTATAATGACTTCTGAGCAACTCAAATATCTGATTTAATCCTGCTTGATTCTTGGAAAAATAACAACCACTGAAAATTTAGAGCATGCACTATACAATGTTTAATGACCTATGTTACTTGATCGTCTTTCAATTTCTTGGAAACTGATCCTGTAATGATGATTTGTGATGCATTTATGAGTGTAATTCTTTTCTTCTTCCCTTTTAATTTTTATTTTTTATGTGACAAAAGAGGGAGAAATAATGGTAATTAAGTATTTAATTAGAAATTGGACCCATGGAGTACCTATTCAGTTGTACATATTGGTCGTTTATAATTTTGTCATTTATGTTTCTATTTTTATGGATATCTTACCCATGCGACACATTTTAACTTTCTTATACATAGAACTAAGAAAGAGCTTACAAACCTCAGCCTTAGCCTATCAGACTCAGGAGGAGCTTACAAACCTCGTATTCTGATATTGCCAAAGGAAGTTAAAATAATACTTTTGGTTTTCTTAAGTATGGAACTAAGGGGGAGCTTACAAACCTCAACCTTGGAATTGTTTGGCTCAGGGGGAGCTTACAAACCTCAGACTCTAATGTTATTAAGAAGACTGAATTACTTTTTCTTATGAGTAGTTCCTAGTATGATGTCTACAGAACTCTACTTTGGACTATAAGACTCAGGGGGAGCTTACAAACCTCATACTATGATGTTGCAAAGAAAATTATAGCTGCCTAACATTATCCTTTAAATACTTGTGTTTGTCATTATCAAAAAGAGGGAGATTTTTAAAACAAGATTTGTTCATGGCATATTTTCCTTGGGTTTTGATGATAACAAATTATTGAAAGAATAATAGTTTAATTGTGTATTACATGTATGCATATTTTAATACTTAAAAATATTATGGTTAGAATATGTTCTATATTAAACACAAATTGAGAGTTGCTGAATTACTAGCTTCTGGTGGCAGAATCTGAAGAGTACTTGCTAAGTGATGTTTGACAAAGACTCTAAAACTGAAGGCCTCAGGATCAGACGAACAAACTTTATTGTCTCTACACTTAGTGAATGTAAGTTGGCCTTTGTTACCATTCAGAGTTGGTGATAATGCTGAAGTTGTCCGTACTGCAGCAAACAAGATGTATTGTCAAATCAATTTGCCAGTTAGAGTCAATAAATTGCAAGGCTCAAGAAAATATGAGATGTTTTTTAGATATTTACTCTCAATGGCTCTATTAGTAAAGAATATCTTTATGACTCAAAGGTTAAACATGTTACACATTGGATCAAGATCTTCTAGTGTATTTGTCTTCAACGAATTTTATACTATAGAGTAACAGGAAAGACTCTTGATCAAGCTTACCTCTTCAACGGCTAGTTTATGAAAAGGCTATCAATATGGCTGAAGGTTCAAAATGAATCTTTAAGAAGGATTAACTAGAAAAAGGAGTAACAAGATTAACAATTATTAATTCATTGTATATGCAGATTTTTTTGATGTAGGTTGTAATTGTAAAAGCCTTAAGATTTCTTATACATTATTTATCTTAGAAATCTTAAGAGTTTTATGTTTTTATTATGGCGATTTATCGTACCTCTGATACTTGTATCATGTACACCTTGTTCTCTATTCTACTGAGTTTGTTTAGTAGTTTAGATAAAAACTCTTGTGTCATTGGGATACACGCAAGAAAGTCTCGAACCAAGATGCTTGAGCCATGTAAGTCTCTTGCTATGTGCTTGAGCTGTGAAAGTCTTAATCAAGTGGATTGATTGAGCATATGTCTTGTATCGTTGGGATACAAACAAGAAAGTCTTTAGCCAAGATGCTTGAGCCACGCAAGTCTCTTGCTAGGAGCTTGAGTAGTGAAAGTCTTAATCAAGTAGATTGACTGAGCAGGAAAGTCTTGAGTCATTATGGCTTGAGCAAGATAGTCCGGTGCATGGAATGAGGAGCAGTAAGTCTTGGCTAGTGGGTGCAAGCAGAGAAAGGCTCGTTTCATGTGACCTGGAGATGAAGTCTTAGGCCTGAGGGCTTGGGCATGAATGCTCAGTGCATGGAATTTAGAGCAGTAAGTCTTGCCCAGTACAATGTAAGCAGAGTGGCTCGTTTCATGTGACTAGGAGCAGAAGTCTTGAGTGAGGAGCTTGAGAAAGGAAGTCTTGGGTGTAGAACCTGAGTAGGAAAGTCTCGAGTAAGGAGTTTAAGCAGAAGTCTTGGACCTTGGGTCTGAGCAGGTGTAAAAGTCTTATACATAATGCATAAGTGATTGTAATCATAATTTGATTATAGTGAAAATCTCTTGTGAGGAAAATGGACTAGACTACTTTCAATTAAGGGAGGAACCAATATAAATCTTTGTGTCTTATGCTATTATTTATTTGTTTCTGTTAACATTTTGCTGTTAAGAATTAATCAGAATCTGAACACCAGTTTAGATTCTGAGCTCTGATCAAATACAAATTAAGAAAACGAAAAACACAATTTAACCCCACTTCTTATGTACTTTTCTCACCTTCAAACGGAAGTAGGTTTAATAAGGCTAAAACAAGTTCACATGAAGGTATAAAAGTTTGACACGTAAATGATTAAGTGAATTAATATAAGTGTTTGTATTAAATACTATTCAACGACATAGATTTGGTGTCAAAGTTAATATTTGTAATAGAGAAATAATTGAAAGTGGATCAAGAAATTAAACAAAAACAAAATCGAAAATCGTGAGTCTATGAAGCTAAAACAAAGGAAAAAAACAAAATAGATTGTTTACTCAAGAAAATGCATCAGGAGGTTTCCTTTCAAGATGGATATTAAAAATGCCTTGATACCAAATTAAGAAACATGGCATCTATGGAAAGAATGAGAGAAAAACTTCAAACTCTTTGTATTGATCAAAACAAAATATTACAATGAGTAAAAAATTCTCCTTCTAATAAGGTGGTTACATACTACAATCTTACAAGGACTAACATATAATAACTTCTTTTTTTCTAATAATTCAATCTTTTTGTTATATTTTCAAAAAGATTTAAATAATAAAAATTTACACTAAGCAAATAAGATTTGGGCCAAAATATGCATAAGATAATTTTAGAGATAGTTGATGGTGAACCTAATATTTTTTAAGTCTACTAGTGTCTAGTTTGATCATCAAGGATGTAGACGTAGTCAAAACTCAAAAACATTATAAAACTAAATAATTGAACTTTATTTATGGGTGTATTCCATATTTTTAAAACCCCTAACATAAGAATGTGAAAATTGTGGAACCATGGAGTTGTACAAATGTAGACTTTGAATCATTTTGATGGCAAATATAGAGCATGGTTTGGTATAACTATAAGATTTAATAAATTAACTGTCATTGTTGCGTTTGGAAAAAAGTTGAAATGATTTGAATATAAATAATGGGAAGGCTTTCTCTAACCACCCGGACATTATAAACTGTTTCCTCATTCCATCGTTAATTCTATAAACTATTACAACATTCCGCTTTCTCTTTCTCACCAATTGGAACATAAACCAAAACCAGATACAGGATAATAATAGAAAATCCAATATGAAATATACTGAAACTGAATTGAAACTTCAAAAACAATAATATATTGATAAAAGTAAATATTGTTGTCAACACATATCATATCATAAAGAATAATGAATGAGTCTCTAATTAGTTACATCAAGATACAAATCTTTGAAGTTTTTCAAATAATGTAAACCCTAAAACTTAAAGATGATTATCAACGCCTACCAAGAACCGAAAAGTCAAATTTCTTCTTGTCTTGATCCCATTTAAGACCAATTTCATCTCCAGCCTGTAAATTCCTTTTGCATACAAAAGATCCATGTATCGATGAAAACATGACTTCCATTCGAAGGCCATATCTTGAAAACAAGAGAACGTAGACTTTGAGTATCAACGTCAAACACCGCAACTTTCACACCATCTTTTTCAGCTTCAGCTTTATTCAAAAAAGGAACGATCCATTCCTTAGCCAATTCTTTCTTCAACAAAAGTCTGCTATTATATCCAACATCACTTAATGTCAGCACTTTCTTGATCTTCCATGGATCAGAACTTGTTCCAACAGGAACAACAGCATCAACATTAGTATCTTGGTGAGCAAGTTTCTGTTTCTTGGCAATTTCAATGCAATTACAAAAATATAGAGATAAATGGAGACAGACATTAGTTTCATTGGGATATGAAGACAAATTCAATAATGATGAATTATTGTTGGTTTCTTGTTGTCGGTATTTCCGTTTGTGTGTTCCAGTATCACAAGAACGAGAACCTTGATCAACGGTACTAGCAGTAATGGAAGAAAAGAAAAAGGATGAAGATGGGGATGATGAAACATGAATCTTGAAGTCAGTCATTTTGGCTGAAGTAAGCGAGAGTGGCAGTGTGAGTTGATCTTCAAAGAAATGTAAATTATACTAAAATATTCATTTTGTTTCCTAAAATTTAGTTTTTACGGATCAATTCTTTTTTCCTTAGAAATCTTAATGACTATAAATCAATTGATGATTGATTAGTTTTAATTCATTTTGTTTTCTTATTTTATGGATTTATTAAATCTTATTAAATATTAAATTTGACTAAATATTAATTTGTTAGAATTTTATGTTTTTTCATATGGATTTGGTTTTTATTAGTTTATCATTTATTTCATTTGCAGAACTTTTGATAAATTTTTGCAACTAACTCTACCATTTAATACAGTCAAAATCGTATAAAATACTTTTTAACTTGTCTTTTTAATTATCCAATGTTGCAAATCTATTAAATTCAATTCAATTCAAGTTCTAAAATCTTAAAATAAAATTATTTTATTTTTAATGTTAAAAATTGGCATTGATTGATGAAAGAAATTATTTAATCAAACATTTTTAAATGAAGACCTTATATAAAGATTTTGAATTTTATATTATTATTATTATTATTATTATTATTATTATTATTATTATTATTATTATTATTATTATTATTATTATTATTATTATTAATGTTTTTTTCTCTGCATCATAATCCCAACATAAAAATATATAATATAGCTTACTAAAATCAAAGTCCACTTTACATAAGTAAGATTAAATAGAATATAATGATTTTTTTCTAACATAAAAAGTTATTTCTAATGAAAAAAAAAAGATGATGATTGAAAAAGAAATGAAATACATATTCAACTTCTATTTCTTTTTTATTTATTTAAATTAATATTTTATATATTTTTTATAAAAAATTAAAATAAATGAGTAATAGTTTACTATAAAACTTATATACATGACAAATGGATTATTCTTTTTCATATTATTTTATATAAATGAATCAATCAAAATGATTATTGAAAGATAAAATTCGTAATATAAGTAATTATTTATCTTTAATCAATTAATCAAGTTTATTTTTTTATTTAATATAAAACAAAAATAAAAAACAAATTATTATTATTAATTATGAAAATGTAAATCGGACAAATATATATCATTAAAAAAATTACTTATCTTTAAAAATATTATATTCTCAACATATAAATAAAGAACAGTTATAATGCACATATTACAAATATTTTCACTTCATTATCTTAACATTATGTTTTTTCAAATGAGTCATTAAATGTTGATTTCGAGACATGCCGTGTATATACGGGAGAACTATTTGTCACTAATCAATTAGATGAATTTAATTTTTATATCTTTTAAATAATAAAGTAATTTGAATATATGAACTATAATTTATCATAAAAATTATATACATGATACATATTTGTGACAAAAGAATAAAGTTAGTGCTTTTTTATCGTCAACATAAATATTAAAATAGTCATAATACATTAACTAAAATATTTTACACATTAATTTTTTTTGTCACTAATCAATCAATTTGTTTAATTTAATTTTTTAATATCTTTGAATTAAGAATGAGAATTATTAAAATATATATTTATTATAATTTTTATAAAATTTACACGAGACAAATAAGGGTTAAGTCTAGGGTGAGGGTTCAATTAAGTCCCTCACTGGTGAAACCCCAAACAATAACCAATAGATTAAATGGACGGTTTAGATTTAATATAATTAAAATGAGAACATGTAAAATCAATTACAGGTAATTCCTTTTACACAAATATTACAATATTCTTACTTTTCGTAAGAACCGTAACAATTTGTTTACAACTTCATCATCTTCATTATTTTTCATAGTAATTAAAAATTACCCTTTGTCCCAAAAGTTACAACCTACGATACAACAGAGAAACAAGGTTTTACAATTTTCTTACTATTGAAAGTTTTCTACCAAAAACAAGGTTTCAACCAGACGGTTGGTCGGCGAGGTCGTCAGAGAGGATTCTAAGGCTGAGATTTCATTCCAATCAAAACCAAGAAAAATTTCCGATAAATCAAATATTGAGAGAACTCAGTAGAGAATGGCCTGGAAGTGCATATGATCTATTGTCCAAAAACTGCAACCGTTTCTGTGATGAATTATGTGAAAGGCTTGATGTACCAAAACTTCCAGGTACTATTGTGTTTCTTCTTCTCCATTTGACTCTCTTGCTTATTTTGATTACCGTCAACTTGAAATCACTAGCATTGTTTGTATTTTGATAGTCTTTCCACAGATTCAGAAAATATGAGCCCATGTTTTCTTTATTTACCCCGAGTATACTTTTTAATTTTTCTTAAACGTTCGAAGCTGGTAAAATAAAGAGGTCCCTACTTGGGCCAAGTGCATATTATGGGGACCCATGATATTTAGGGCTACATCATGTAAATTCCTTGGTATACTAGATTTTTCCTATAAATTTTCTCTGTTTCAAAAATTGTTTCTCACATTATCATATGGTGTGATACTTCTCATTGATATACCCTTAAGCTGGGTTGTATATGGTAGAGACACACTTGGCTATTATTTTGCATTAATATGCATATTTTCTTAAGATTAAAAGTGTTGTTGGCTTGAATTACATCTTGCTGTCTTGTGAATATAGAGTGAAGTAGGGAAATGATCTTGCTGAGTTAATTAATGTTATAGGACAGGCGAGAAATGCTCGAACATGGAGAGTGAAGTTAGGTGGTTTCAACATATAGAAAATTCATTGGGTTCTAGAGTGGTACATTATTATAATGCGCCAATGCCCGATTCAAATTTTATGTCATGTGACTGATGTTTAAGCAGCAATGCGTTATGTACATTATCGCTTCTGGATATTTATCTTCCACCGTAAGTTCTTAAACTTTCATTTCATGACAGGTTGGGTTAATAGGTTTGCTAATGCTGATGATACTGCCATGGAAGTTGCAGAGAATACGGCATTACAGGTGAGTTATGAATTTCAAAATGCTCTTATTGTGTTGTGTTAAATTATTTTCTTGAACTGTCTTATTGGAACCTGGGTTGTGCATTTTGTTTTGAATACTTTAAATTACACAGCTGTTAGACATGTTCTGTAAAGCTCTAGATACACCCAAAATTGTTGAAGTATTGGTGTTTTTATCTGGTGCCAATATGTCTATGATAGTCCTCAATGTGTGCTCAAGGAATTCCCTAAAGAATTTATGATATTTCAAAATAAAATTATTGACTAATATGTTTGTTAGGATACATCATCCATATTTTGATATACAACTCCAAACTTTTCTTAAAAGGTTTGTCCAATCTTATTTATCATATTCTATGATCAAAAGAGTGTAGTACATACTCTTCAATTCATTTTTTGAGGATATAAAAATATGAGATATAGTTGTGGGTTATTGGTGGAGATATACATGACCCATCAATATTGTCGATGGCAGAACTACAATGATCACTGATTTAATTGTACAGGGTTGTCTCTTAGTGAATTAGACTTGGAAGCTAGCTATGCTTTTTTGGATGATGAGATAATTTACTTTAGTCATGACTCATGACTTGAATTAGACTTAGAAGCTATGCTTTTTTTTAAGATGAGATAATTTAATGGAATCGGGACTCATGATTTATTTCAAATATAGGACTAATGACATTTTTTATGCCAATGGCAGTGGGTTGTGTATTGATGAACTGAATACAAACTTAAATGCACAAGGGAGCTAATAAGCCAAGTTCATGTCATATTCAAATAAAACTCAAAGAGGAATAAAATCAAAGTTTTGAAAATGAAGGAATAAGAGATAGGAGGGTGAAAACCCTAAAATGAATTACAATTTTCTCATAATGTAAAGTGTTTCTAAAATGAGAATTTTAGAATTCTTTGAACATCATATGAAAATATACATTAATACAAGAATTTGGCAAAAAGAATCATTTAAAAATGAAGAAGTTATGTTAATTTGAAAATTAAATAAAAATTAAATGAACAAGTGGTTAAAATAAAGAAAATGTTTCACCCAAGGCTTGAACTCAAGACCTTGGGGTCACGGACACAAAACACCACCAACTCCACCATTTCAAGGTTGCGAAATTTAATGGACAAAGATATTATAATATTAAAAAGCATGAAAAACCATAAAATGTGCAAAAAATGCCCTCGCAGAGGGTCGAACACAGGATCACATGACATGTCAAGTTCTTAAAGGCAAGGCAATAACCACTAGGGTGGCGATACATCCATTGTATCAAGCCACCCCAGTTGAATATATACCTAATAAGGCGTAATTCCTGGGCCAAATGATGGAAATCATGAAAACGATTTACTTCAAACTTCCTCAAAACTTAACCAATTTTCACAAAATTAAAGTCAAACATGCTTGTTTTTTAAAGAGGATCATGATGTTGTCAATCAAATTTTCAAATAAAGCACACACACAAAAAGTCGAATGCTCATGCAATAAAGATTGCGACGACAAAGATGGGAATCAATTGATAATTGAAGTTTACGCACATAATAATCATCAAATAGCACAGACGCAATTCCAAATAGTTACCAGCATGGATAACAACAATTCATAGCAGCATACCATTCAAATGGAACGGAATATAAACCGCAAACAAAGTTTGCAACTCAGTAACATATCGAAACAGAAACAAATATCCTAATGCGACAGCGGAACAAAATCAAACAACAACAATGCATGAACTGCCGAGTACAGTCAGTGGACATAAAAAAAATAACAGCAAGAGGTAATTGAATTGAAATTATCTTGGTGACAACAGTAATCATAAATTAAAGCCAATAAGTGGACACTTATCAATGAAAATCAAATTTCAAAAGTTTAAACTTAGCGACAACCATAACATCCATAATTGCCACAAGATACAACAACGAAATGCAATAAAATCGAATCAAAATTTACCTATAATACCGACAACATAGGATTTGTAATCAGCCCAAAACCGAAGCCGGCAACGGGCGCAGCAAAACAAATGCAAATTACATCATACAACGGTAGCATGG